AGTCACTTTACTCATGTTTAAAATATTTATATATGAAGAACTATAGGTGATAGGCCTAACGCCTATACTAAATATTTCCCAGTTTGCCCCTGAGGAAGAAAGGTTCACCTTTCGAAAGCCCTCGGGTTATAGCGTTTTTATTCATTTCTATCAGGACGTCTTGGACCTATGTGTTTATCTAACATCATGAAACTGTTGATATTGATGATATGCATATGAAAATCGTAGGTAATATCGTATATGTTTGATCTAGACTTACTTTACTTATATTTATAAGAAACATATGAAGCACTATAGGTGACAGGCCTAACGTCCATGGTTAATTTATGCTTATGTTACGTCTCCGTTTGTTAATTAACTTCCCGTAACTTCGTTCCGACGAAACTTTAGCGACACAAGTTCTTAATAAAACTGGTTTATTCTTTCCGAATACAACTTTACGATACACTTATTTTCAACAATCGCGCTAAAACAAACGCTATATCAACGAACGTCAATAATACTTCTGACTGCAGTTCAATTACTCACTATCTTCACACACACATTACATTATTCTCGCGTCACGTTGTCACCCTCTTTTATATACCAGACTACCCTATATCTAGTAAATACTAGAGCATTCGCCAAGGTACGGGATAGTTCTAGAAACGTGGCGTCACACTAGTCATGTGACGCGCTGACGCAACACTTACTTTACTGATAGAAATAATATGTATATGAAAACCGTGGTTGATATCGTCTATACTTGATCTAGACTTACTTTACTCATATTAATAATGCATATTTGAAGAAATATAGGTGAAAGGTCTAATATCTGTAATTAAGTTTGGCTTGCTATAGTCATAGTATATGAAATACCGTGGATGATGACAGTCCTGCCTTCTTAACGCTATTTCTACAAGTAATGAAAAATGTTTCGTAAATGTAAAATGATGTAGGGATGGCATGTGTGCTTTCTTGTGCATTTTTATGTGTACAACTCCATCAATCAATAGCAAAGTCTTTAAAGTGTTGTTTGAACTGAATCTTTACTGTTTAAGGTACTTTTTGCCCGAACGCTCTATTAGGGTTTTGTGCAATTATTTGCGATCGCTATTATGAACCACTATCGTGGTTCACGATAATAATGAATAAGAAATTAAATACGATGATTATCACAACTCATAAGTCATCATTTTAATTAAGAAATTTCAAATATACTGATAATAAGACACATCCAAGAACTATTTTATTAATTTATGGAACTTAATTTTGTTACAATATAGCTTCACGCCAATGAAACAACACCAACATTTGTTAAAAGGCAAATAGAGCACAAGTTTATAAGAAATATTTTAATGTGAATATGTATTTTAGAGAAATGTCCTTTCTACGATATTTGTATATAAGAAATACAAATTTCTCTAAATGTATTGTTTGTTTGCAGCTAAGCACAAAGCTGCACAATGGTCTTGTTGTGCTCTGCCCATCACGGGTATCGAAACCCGGTTTCTAGCATTGTAAATCCGCAGACATATCAGCTCTGCCACTGGGGGACCTCTAAATGTAAAAGCGATAAAAATAAAATGAAACCTCGTAAGTTTATGTAGCATATCACTATTACATTTGCACATCTTCATTTTATTTAAATACAAAATAACTTTCAATTAAGATGCTTATATTTTAACGAACAAACATATAGAATAACTACGGATATATAAGTGGAAATAACTAAAGTATTAATTTTATATGATTATTATTTGAAAATAACAAAGGCTGCACTTTGAAACATAATTCCATTCTTACATACAGACAAACACGATGGTTTAGCTACTACTTTTCTTATAATTGCCATCTATCGGCCGTTTTTCTTTTCTTTCTTTCTTTTGTATATATAATACGACCTTCAAAACAGCAAGTTCACCGTTTGGCTTTTCTGTAAGAGTGTTATATAACTTATATTTTTTGTAAAGGGAAATTCCTGCATATAACTCATAAATTTCTCCAAATTTTCCCGTCATTATGTAATAAATATTGATTTATCTTTCCGATAACAAATAATCCTGCATTACTAATTATTATGCTTTTGTCTGTAGATAACTTTATTTTGCTGTTTTGCTTGTAGAGAAATAATTTTAATTTATTTTCTATCTCGAAGTTTGTGGATTAGAAGTTAAACCGTCAAAACCAAATAAGAATTTAATAACCCAGTAACTGACAGTGATCTGTTTTAGTTTTTACTACTATACAGACACTACAAAACTTGCATAACTGTAACAGTGTAAGTAGGTGTCACGCCTTCTCATTTTTATTCTATTTCTAAATATATGTATGAAATGATAATTTTATTTCTGTGCGATGTATACAGTTTGTAATGTTTAGTAATTATTATTGTCATAACATACGACACAGAAAATTTTATTAATTATGTCACCTATGGCAACAGTGTTGACGTTCCGCACATATTTTTTTTTCTATATATTGATGCCAAAGTCGTCTTAAATTAACATCTTCATAGTTCACGTTGCAAAGGTAGTAGCAGTAGGCCACATGACTTTCCAGTTTTTCTGTTAAGTGTTAGGCCTAGTAAAGGATCTTCTTGTGGTTGTATTAAAATAGTATTTGGTAAAGACAGTATATAGTTAATATCCTAGTACAGTTTCTGGTATAGTAATAATGTATAAATGACTTAAGTATAACCTCATCTTATTACATCGAAGAGATATCTGCGTACTATTACCATAGTATTTCACAAATAAAAAAATTATAAATCTGAAGATGGTTCAGTATAAAACTTGAAAAGGAAACATTGTTTGTTTGTATTGTTTTCTCCACAACATCGGAGAGTCTTGGAAAGAAGCCACTCACTTTAGAAGGGTTAATAATTCATGGAAAATTATAGTAACATAAGGTTATTGTTAAAATATATTCCACAGAAATAAAATTTATTTTTACTAAAAGAAAAACCACTATTTTAGTAATGTAAAAATATGTTTGTTCTACACTATTGTCTACCAATAGATTAAACTTTTTATCTGTTATTAAAATGGTCAAAGAAAACTAAGGTTTATTAATTAATTTTCTGAATCTGTATAGATTTTTAGAACCAACCATGGCCAGCACTGGACAACTTGATACCAACTTTGTTACAATGACTCGTTTTGTTTTGACTGAACAGAGAAAGATACCGTATGCAACTGGTGAGCTAACGCAGCTGCTAAACTCAATCCTGACGTGTGTCAAAGCTATTTCTTCTGCTGTGAGAAAGGCTGGCATGGCTCATTTGTAAGTTGCTATGGATATTTTATACTAGTTCCATACTTCACAAAGTATACAATTATCATAAATTATTGCTCGAGCATTCTTTAAAATGATAAAATTTCTTATCACAAAGCTAATAAAAGTTTTTTTAAAATGAAAGAGACCATTGCATCAGTAAATCTTAAGTGCTTTGTGCATGAATTGTCACTATTTCAAACATTTGTTTGAGACTGAAACTGATTTGTTAAATTCACATCAAAATGAAATAGGGTTCTGAAATGAAAGTAAAATTATATGATAGTTAGTAAAAATACAGTTCTCATACGCTTTATTCAAAACAAAATAATGTATTACATAACAGTTAGTACTTATACTGGAACTAGGACTGTTTTTTTTTTCCTTTATTAATATCATTAGAGAAAACTTCACATGATAGCATACGTTCCTTCTTATCTTGTTTTTTTATTATATTTTATCAGTCCATTCTCTTTTCAAAATAAACCACAATTGTTTGTATATGCTTTTAAAAACTCAAAAAGTTGATTGAAGTTTTTGAATTTATATTATTGAAAATAATTGTAGAAATGCTCGCAGGTGATAAGCGGCCACGAGTCATGTAAGTAAGTTCAAAATGTTCAATTTATCAGTAGTAAATTACATTATTGCAGAAAATACAAAGGCACGGAGAATAAATTGTACAGTGCATTAATATTTTGTATCTGCTTTAAACAGAGTAATTCACTCATTTTCTATGAATGAGTGATTGTTCAATATTCCCAGTATTATACTAACCGAAACCTGATCATGTAACTTTTCAGTCCTGGGAGCCACAAGTGGATCAACACACTACTGCTCATAGTAGTAGGACTGCCTGTACTTTTATATGCATTAATGCCAGTGTGACACTGTGATTGGTTGACATTCAACCAATCACAGTGTTTGAGATGGTTTTTCTTTCATTTCTTGTTAATTATTGTTATTACTTAGGTCTGCATTAATGCCAGTGTGACACTGTGATTGGTTGGATCTCAACCAATCACAGTGTTTGAGATGACTTTCTTTCATTTTATGTTAATTATTATTATTACTATATTTTACATTCTTTTTCCTCTGTCAATTACTTGATTTGTCTTGAGTTTTTTATTATTAATGCAAAATCAAACCTCATTATAATTAGTCCTAACATTACTCTCATGATGCCAAAAAAAAAGCCTGGCACTGGGTGGTGCTGAGGTCATGATATCTATGACCATATCTAAATCAGTCTGTTACTTATTGTAAATAAGTTTATCAGATGTTTTTTTCAATAGTCTATGATCATTCCACTTGAACTGTAATCTCGTAATTTGGCAGAAAACTGATAAGCCAGATGTTTGAGAATGTGGATGGAGTTTTAGGTTGGATGTTGTTACGAAACTCAATTAGAGCTTACAGTTAGACCAGTTATAGTTAATCAAAGAGTTATTGTTAAGTAGATTTTTTGGGATAATTTATAAAGTTAGATTTTCTTTCTGGTTCTTTATTCTTTCATTTGGGTGAATAATTAATTTTTTTATTGACAAAAAGAAAAAAATATATTTTTCTTATACTAGCTAAAGAGGTAATGTATACTTGTATGGAGTATTGTGTTACAGTGGACTCGTGTTTTGTAGTCTGTGCTAATGTTTTGTAATAAGTACACTTTTAGCTCAAACCTACTTATACCTGTGTTTTATTCATAGGTTTGGCATTGCTGGAGAAACAAACATTCAAGGAGAGGAAGTGAAAAAATTAGATGTCCTTTCCAATGATCTTTTTATCAACATGCTAAGGTCTTCATATACAACTTGTTTACTGATCTCTGAAGAGAATGAAACAGTTATTGAGGTTGAGACAGACAAACAAGGCAAATATATTGTCTGTTTTGACCCATTGGATGGGTCATCAAACATAGACTGTCTGGTCTCTATTGGATCCATCTTTGCTATTTATAAAAAGGTGAAAACAGTAAAATAATATTAATATGGAGCATATATTTATATTTATATATTCTAAACTCACACCGGATTCTTATAACTTCCAGGCCCAGCCTCATGTAAGCCAGACTCCACCTAAGAATATTCTCTCCCCCCCTCTCTGTTGTGTATCACTATAAAGGTGTAGGTTTGTAGTCTGAAGGCTAGTCAGAAACTGCATGTGTATTGAGATCCCAGAAATGTACTTTCTTAGCTATTTATGGATATTCTTCATCTTTGTTAACTTTATTATTTGTTAAACTTCTGTTAGTCTGAGCTCAAATTACTGTCATTCCGGCCTCGTAACCATTCCCCCTTTTCACCTAATGTTTCCTGATCAAGGACATTAAATGTGATTGTTTTCTAGATGTAGTATTGCTTTTTTTAATATTTTCATGTACAATATCGAACAGTTTCCAAATATTAATGTTAACTCTAACAGTGTAGAGTATTGCTTTTTTTAATATTTTCTTGTACAATATCGAACACTTTCCAAGTATTAATGTTAACTCTAACAGTGTAGAGTATAGTATAGCAGAAATGTGTAGAGCCAGGTGTTCAGGACATTTTGGTTATGTGTGGTCCTTTATAATTTTACAGGTGACTGAAGGTGCACCTACATTACAAGATGGTCTGCAGAAAGGGAAGAACATTGTTGCTGCTGGTTATGCTCTGTATGGCAGTGCAACAATGGTCGTACTCTCTACAGGAAATGGAGTAAATGGGTTCATGTTAGATCCTGTAAGTTTCATCGGATGTCTTAATTAATTTACATTATTTAGAAGTATTGATATTGTGTAAGGTATTACTGCTCATAATCCTACAGAAATAAGCAACAAAACTTTTAAAGATATTTGTTTTGTTTTAAAAGTCATCTTTTATAACAACTTTTTGTTAGGTGTGATGTTACATCAAAATAATATTGATAATATTTTTTGATACGTTCTTCTTTGGTTAAATAACACAAGGTTTCAGTGAGAAGAGCATATAACAGCATTTCTATTATACTCTGTCTGTTGTACTTCGCTGTTGATGAAGAGTTTTACTCATCTTTGAGCTATCTGGATTACAGAATGTAAAGTTCTTAATTGAGTTTTTGGCTTTAATGGAGTGCTTCAGCATGTTTCTAGAGTTGAACAATGTTTTGGCTTCTATACTAAGGCATTTTTCAGGTGAAAATCAAAATTGTTAACCGTGAAGTGTCATTTTATTGGTTAGCATGTGATAAAGATGCTTGCATTGTACTTGTTTCTTTCTACATGTGTGTGTTGTATGATGTCCTCATTTATTTTATGTACTTTGGTAAGAGAGGATGTCCAGAGGTTACTGACGTTAAATCCATGTCCGTGGTTGGTGTAATTTGATGCAAGTAGTCTAATTTTCATGGAAAATTTATCCAAAACCTACTATGAAAGTAAAAACAACCCATCAACTGGTTAAAACAGAAATCCTTAATCTACTAAATACCATGTTCATGCAGAAATACATACCACGAAAAAAAAAAAAGTCAAACTTTATAAAAAAAAAAGAGGATGCAACCTGCCCGAC